TGTCCCGCAGCCATGCGGAGCCGCTGAACCTCTCCTACCACAGCTTGGAGGGCGGCTACAGGGCAGACGCCATCTGCTCTTTTCCTACAACCCCGTCGGCCCCAGTGGATGGGAAAATTGCAGGTAAATATGAATTTATAGCCTGGTTCCTTAGGGAAATGAGGTTGTACTTTGTCCTGTCTACCCACCTGACTCCCATTTATTCCATGTGTCTGTGTGTGCTTCCCTGCCTCAGTTTCCCCACCTGAAAAATTGTAGTTCCTGCTAGTGTTTTGAGATCTAGCAATAAAAGTGCTGTGTCTGAGCTCTGGGCTCTTCTTGTATTTATTATCGTTGCTAACATGCACAATCCTGTTGCTGATTGACCCTCACTGGAGCCCAGGAGCCTTAGTGGGAGCTCTGTGACTATTTATTCTCCACCAACACTCAGACTGCAGGTTGCTGTGGGATTATGTGTACCAGCTCCTCTCTGACAGCCGCTATGAGCCTTACATCAAGTGGGAAGACAAGGAAGCCAAGGTCTTCAGGGTCGTCAACCCAAACGGACTTGCCCAGCTCTGGGGGAACCACAAGGTAAATGCATTGAGAACAAATTTGTCATTCCCAGGCTTCTGCGTGTTGCCTTCATGACTTGTTCCCCAGAGCTGGGACTGGGAAGGGTGGGACAGAGTGGGCGCAGGGCTACTGAGAGGTGCCAACCTTCTGGTGATTAAAGGGGGAGGCTTTCTCATCCCCTGGGAAGGAAACCATGATGGCTGTAGACTCAGAAGCAAGTCTGGGTTAGACCCCCACTGCAGCCTGCAATGCCCAAGAACCACCTCGAATGTCCCACATGTGGTCCTGCTGCAGACAGACCCAAACCAGGTGTTGGTGCTTGCTTTTACTCAACCCCATCGCCCCAATTCTTTTCTCCTTCCAGAACCGGATGAACATGACATACGAGAAGATGTCACGAGCACTCAGACATTACTACAAACTCAACATCATCAAAAAGGAGCCAGGGCAGAAGCTGTTGTTCAGGTGAGATGAAGCAGATGAGAGAAATGAGCTGCCTGGGACAGTGCAGCAGAAGGCTGTGGGCTCCAGATGTTGGCAGCTGCTTCATCCAGCAAGATCCTCCCCTGCAAATGCAACACCCCAGTGGGTTTGTGTCCAAGCTCCATCCTGTGCAAGCCGGGAGCTGAGCTGCCTGGGCTCCAGGTTCCACCTGATGCGCTTTCCAGGGCCGTGGGCCAGCAACCTGCCCCGGGGCCAGCATCCACCCGCTCTCCTGCGTGGAGCCCAGCTGGTGCTGGAGGAAATTCCCCTGAGCCCGCCCAAGCTGGACAGGCCCCTCCTATTCCCTAGTGACACTTCCAAGCAGAGGAAGGGGTGGAAATAAGTCAGGACCCTCCTGTTTTCAGTGCTGGCTGCTTCCTTGGGACTAGTTTGGGCTTAAAATGCCAGCTCTGGGCCGCTCGGTGCTGAGCTTTGTCTCCCCAGGCTTGGAGCATCTTGGGTGCGAAGCAAGAGCTGGGATCCTCAGCAAAGCCCAGGGATGGCGGATACCTTCTGGCAAGCTCCGGAGCTCAGCTGATGAGGGCGAGGGCTCCAGCATTTACAGCCTGGTTTGGGGGCTGGGTTTGGACATGCCCTTAAAGCCATTTAAAAAAAAAAAAAAATGTATTGCAGGTTTTTGAAGACTCCTGGGGAGATCATCCATGAGAAATCCAGCAAACTGGAGCAGCTGGAGAATGAGGACAATGAGGATTTGAAAGAAGACCCGCTGGAGGTTTCACCATAGGAAATCTTTGAAGGTGGCCCTTACAGCGCATCGCAGACAGACTTGTGCTCCACTGGGAAGTGCCAGCATCTCTTGGATCTCCTGGACAGAAGGCCGCAGAGCTGGTCCTGGATTTCAAAACCTGCCCTGAACCAAAGCTGTGACATCTCTGGGACTTCATTAGCAAAACACACCCAGAAACTGTCCCCCAGCCCCGAAAGTGCAGGTGAACGTGTGGGCTGGTCTTCTGCTCGCCTCTCTTCTGTCTGCTGGGAGGGAACGGGGTCTTTTTGCTCTGTAAATTTTGATGTTTGTCTTTAAGGTTTGAACTGGCTGGTAAAGACTGGTCTGTTCTTACAGCAAGACGTGCTGAGCAGAGAGCACCGGAGCATGCGCTCCTGGCCAAACATCTACAGAAGTGCTTTTGGAGAGCGCAGTGGCCTGAAATGTGAACACGCTGCTCTGAATCTGAGCCTTTTCCCCAATTTGAGAATGGCCTTGTTGCAGATACGCCGTACGCTGTAATCTCACTGCCTCCTGCGGGGTTGCTCCTGTGATTGAGGGTGGGAGCGTGCCGAAATGTGCCTGGATCAGGCCTGGCTGGAGCTCCAGGCTGCACGGACACCCTAAACTGGGTCTCACTCAGCTCCTTTCCCTCCATGTAATGCTTGTTGTAATTAGCTGACTTAAAAAATGTGAAAAGAAACAAAGCGAGTCATGAATATGACCACACTCATCGTCAGACACCTGGTTACGTGCTCTGAGTCCAAAGCAGGAATACCTGCAACCCCGGGCACTGTTAGTGGCCTGGAAGGAGCAATCTCTGTGTGTTAAATCTGATAATATCACTAATATTTTGGGTTGCTTTTCACTGAGAAAATAAAATCCTGTGACTGTGTAAGGTTGAAAAAAAATCCCAGTTCTTGCTGGTTGAAGGTCTGAGCTGGGAAATGCAAGCCTTCCTCATTTAAAACCAGCTCCTGTGGGCACGCAGACCTTGTCCCTAAGCTTGGCAGCCCCTAAACCAGAGACAAACGGTCCGAGCTGCTCGGCAGCTGATGCGTGAACGCGGTGCAGACACGTGGTGGTTTGTAGCTATGTGGGCAAGCACAGATATGGATGGTAAAGCAGCATCCTGCTTCATTGCTGATGGGAAAAGGTGAGTTCCTTCCAACCTCAGTTTTGTACCACTGCAGAAATTATCCTGCTGCCTCATATCTTTGCTCTGGACGCGTTCCCAAGCCCTGAGGCCGTGCCTTGAAGCTGCATTGGCATCGCTTTTGGGGCAGCGATGCTGTGAATGGGTCTGGGAACTGTCAGTCTTGTGAAAAATTTTGGTGAGGGTTGGTGACTGAGGTTTCCACCGAAACTGGTTGTTGCCAGCCTGCAACTACAGTCCCTTTCACTGTAACTGGTGCTGCCCCTCCAAAACTATTTTACACCCGTCAACTGGAACCTGGAGATGCTGGTGGGCCACAGCCAGCAAGAGATGGTGGTGGGACACATGACAGCTGCCTGGCAAAGCAGCAGCAGTACAGCGTCTCCGGAAACACTGTCTGAGAAGTTTCACTTCCAGAAAAAAACCACCAGCTCGCTGGCAAAAAGCAAGTGCTTGACAAGTCAAGCGATGGAGGAGAAGGAACCGAGAAGCTCTAGTGGGGCAAATGAGCATGATAGTGTCACAGCCTTTGGGAGGTCCTAGCTGGGAAGGGAGGCCAAAATCTCTGCTAGGAGAGGGGGCTGGAGGTTACCCAGCACCCAGCCTGGGGGTGCACCCCACCAGGAAGGTGCAGTGAAGCACCCAGACCTCCTCCTTCCTTCCACAAAGCCGGATCTTTCTTGGGGTGAAATCCAGCAGAGAATCAGTGTAAGTAAGTCCTGCCCAGCCCTGAGGGACAGCTTTGGTGGGAGAGCCGACCTCCTTCCTTGGCAACTGTCCCGTCCTAGCCCTGTGTCCTCTTGGGACACACACCCATGGGTGCATTTTTCCTGGCCTTCTCCTAACAAGACATCCCCCCTGCTTTCTTGCCGTGGAAACAGCCCTGATGACTCCTGAGCATCCCATCACTTCTCCAGCCCCTGCGCGTTGTTTTGTTAGAGCAGATGACCGTCGGTGCCCCCGGTGCTTGCACCGTGCTTGCAGGGAGCGTGCAAGATGCCCTCTCTTCACCTCTTATTTTACTGCGATGACTAAGGATCCTGTTGGACTTGGATGGGGCTTTCCTCTCATGGTTGGGAAGCTGCCAAAAGCACTCAACCCTCCTTTGTGCTGTGCTGTGCTGCCGTGGCTCCGGAGGGATCTTAGAGGGTGAAAATCAAAGGGCACTTCTGCAAGGACTGGTTGCAATGACGAGCTTTTTCCATGCTCCCAGGAAGCCCTCATGTCCTTCCCGGGACGATGTGACTCTTTTCCCTGCAATAAACAGAGGTGGGAGAGCTGTAAACCTGCTGCTTTCCTGGAACAGGGACTCATCCCTTTCCGTAAACAGCTGAGTAACTGCCGCTTGTGCCGGGGTGTTCGGCATGGGCGTATGGGGAGGGAGAGCATGCAGAAGCGGGGGACTTTTGCCGTGACTGAAGTCCAGGGGCGGTGGCACGAAGGCAGGTGCCCCATGTGGGCTTTCCCCAAGGTTTGCAGGTGCTTTGCTCCCTGGAGTTTGTCATCCATGCTTCAGCAGCCCCAGGTCTGGTGGTGTTTGGGGCAAATGCCAACGCCTGTGCATGCCCACTGCTGTCTTGCACTGCTCATCTGCTGAGGGAAGCAGCTAAAATCAGCCCCAGGGCTGGAGGAAAAGAGGATTTGCTTTGGGCGCTGGTGGCCACCACCCTCTTGGATCAGAGGCACTGCACAACTGGGCTGAGAGGTTTCCACCAAGGCCACATGGTGGCTGTGCTGTCTGTCCAAACTGTGGCCAGCGCAGGGAGCCGTGGCTGCCCTCAACACCCCTGTTATGGTTCCGATCTGAAACTACAGATATTTTTGTGCTGAGGTGGCTGGTGTTGGCTTGAAGGGACCTTTGTGGTCCACTTAAAACACAACTACCTCCAACACCCAGTTGGATTGGCTGTAGCTTGGGCTAACTACATCTTGAAGACCTCCGAGGATGGTGATCCCCCACCCCTCTGGCCACCCATCGGAGGTTGTCCCACTCTCCTGCAGAGGGGGCTTTTCCTGATGGCCAACTTCAGCCCGTGGCCTGTCTGTCTTGCTCCCAAGAAATGTGGGTGATTTGACTCCTGCCTTCTCCTGAGCCCTTTGCAACCCTCCCCACCTCACCGCTCTGTGCAGGAAATACCTCTCCCTTGGTTTTTAACTTAGTCTGGAGCAAGTTCCTGTAAATAAGCCACTTATCTCCTACTGTGTACTCATGCTTTTAGTTCTGCTTTTCCCTCCAGCATCACTGGCCTGCAGATACCAACCTCAGTGTTGTGTGCTCCCTCCCCGTGACCACATTTCCAGCCAGCTTCCTCATTCTCTCCCAGTATTGATGAGAAAAGCAGACAAATCTGGATCCAGATCTCTTCCCCCAGCTCTGGTAATGGGCTTCTTTTGGTTTGTCTCAGGTCTCTTGCAAACATCTTTTTTTTATGCCTCTTTCCCATTAAGTTTGAGCATGTCCCACATCCCAGAAGGGATCTGAACTTGGATAAAGGTATGGATCCAGAATCACAATTTGGGTCAAGATTTTTCCTGGAGTCACTTTGGGTAGCCCGTCTTCAGGCTGTGTCCAGAAATGCTCCTACAAAGAGGAGAAGCCTGCAAGAGGCCATAAGTTAACGCTGATTCCCAGTTCAATCATGAGAAATCCTCCATGAGCAGGGATGGTGTTTGGACTCAGCCCTGGATGATCTCCAGTAGCAAGATCTCCAAACTGGAGATGGCCAAACTGTGCCCCATTGCCAGAGTGGATGTGGTTTTTCGTTTTATGGATGTTGCAGAGGAAAAAAAAACCACTAAAATTGATTGTGAAACTCCTTCTCGCCCACTGGAATCGACCAGCTTATAAAAGGACGTGGCCATATGCTAGTTAGCAGCATGCAGCTCCCGACGGATGGTTTAATTATTTAGCAGAAGTAGATGGGGATGCTGAAAAACAAAGCCAGGTAATTCCTAATCAATACAGGACTCTGATTCATCGGTGTAGGCTCAGGAGAAATGGAGGGAAATGGACTGGATCTTTCCCAATTATAGGAAATTATGGCAGAGAAAGTTTGTAGAAACAGAAAGAAAATAATCCTGGACTGGGTAACTGAACCTGTTATCAGGAAAAGACTGTTTTTATCTGGGAGACACCTGGGCAGCACCTCATCCTTGCTGAAAGCTGGAGAAAACGCAGCCCTGCGCAGGTGGAAATCTTGCCGAGGGGTTTCCCAAAGCCTGCGTGCCGGCAGCCGCTGCCCAGCAAATGCATCCGCATCCAGCACCGTCGCTGCAAGGTGCAGTGTGAAATATTGCCATCAGATGGCAAAATAGCAATGAGGATGGCAGGCAGCAGTCTGTGGGAGGGTGCAACGGGTGCAGGGGGGATGGCTGTGGGGCCAAATAGATCTCTGGTGTAAGGAGAAAGGCTGAAGATTTGTTTGGCCAAGGGGCAGACTGCAGATGTTGGGGAGATGCTCTGCCCCTGGGCAAGGCTGAGTGGGAGCCACGTGGGGGCAAAGGATTTGGGTCACGAAGCTGGTCCTGTTCCATGTTTTAGGGTGGGTGCACAGGCTGTCTGAAGGACCCCAGGGCGGGTTTTGAAGATGCTGCAGATGCTGCAGCCCGGCCATGCTCAGTGTTAGGCAACAACCTGATAGCCCCGTGCCCCAGAGCCTCTGCGGTCCCACAACAGTCCCCAGCACCCACTTCCCTGGAAGCTCCTGGGATATGAGCAGGGCAATCTGCTTGCTGTATTAAAACCCCATTGATCTGAAAAAGTTACGACTTTTCCTTACAAAAACAACCCAGAAAAGCCCATACGTGGCACCACACCCATCAAAAAAAGAACAGCCAATGAACAAACCCAACCCCAGTGCCAAATAGCTGGCTGAGATAGCTGGTTTCAAAGGCCAGCGCTTACAGCAGGTGACAGGTGATTTTTATGTTGTTTTGCTGCTATGTGTCATAAGGAAATTATTTTCTCCGCCGGTGAAACTCACGCCCGCTGGTTTTCTGCCACGAGGGAGGTGATAGCGGGGATCCCAGGCGGAAGAATTGGCCGCTCTCCTACCTGAATGGCTGCTAAAAATAGGACTTTATTCAACCAGGGTATAAAAAAGGGACCTCCCAGGAGAGCCTGACAACCCTTAGTGCCTGTGGCCGAGGAGCTTGTCTTGACATATGTCCAGAAGGGCAGAAATACTGATGGAAAGGTAAATACCAAAAGAGCAAATAAAGAATGATGTGGTTGATGTACTGGAATCAATCGGAGCAGGATGGGGGGTGTTGCTTTGCTGTGATTAAATCTAGTCGCATGATTTATTATCGGGTGGTCGGATGGCTTTGGTGTTGGCTTGGGTGAAAGAAACTTGCCTTCTTGAGCTAAAAGCAGGCCACGTTGGGGTGGGTGGGTGTGCTTGTGTGTTGTGATGATGCTCATCTAGGCTGAGCGCAGGCTGATGCCCAGCTCCAGGGTGATTTGTACAGCCGAACGCGCTGGATTTCGGTGCTGGCTTCCCATGTGCTGTTCAGTGGTGGAGAAAGTCTGGTTTGGGTCTGGTTTTCTGAAGGGTGAAATTGGTTTTGGAAGTAGAGCCACCACGAGGCACAGGCATGGCTCTCTGGTTTTTCAATAGTAACATCTCCCGGTTAATTTTCCTTGTAAATGGGGAGGAAATGGGGGATGGGAAAAG